TATTTGGAGCCACGCCAAACTTAAAATAATGGCGAATAAAAGAGGAACAACTATTTCCTTATTACAAAGCCATTTAAGGTTTTTTTGCTTTTGTTACCGATTTAAAGGATCGGAGTTTGAAGAATTCATGAGAATATTAGGTGGCGAGCATTAATAAATTTAGTTGACTTTTTTTTATTTTATCAACAACCCCTACCCCCTACCCCAAGGGGGTAGAGGTTGTTGATAAAAAAACAATTTTAAATTTTTTTGTTATATCAATTTATTAAAATTTATGGAGCGCCAATCAGGAAATGGGGCGCCAATCCAATTGACGGATTAAAACTAAAAGATGGGGCGCCAATCATGAAATGGAGCGCCAATCAAAACAGTGCCAATACACTATTTTTGTTTACTCAAATTAAAGATAATGAAATTGTAATTAATTAAACAAACTTTTTAAGGTTGAAACTTATGAACATATCATGATTGAAAAACTAGATTGTGCAAATTGACTATTTCTTTAAAATTCGTAAAAATTACTACTATTGAAGCTTTATATTGTTATGTTTTGAAAAAAGATTTTTAATATTACTTTTATTGAAATTTTAAATAAACAATATAGAATTTAGTTAAACATAATGATAAGTTTAGTATGCCTTAACATTCTTGTAAAAATTAACTTTTTCTTTTTTCATATTTAAATTTTATTAAAACTTATTATTTATTAAATTATTCATCAATTTAAAAGATAAAAATTTAAAATAATTTTAACTTCTTTTATATATTTTTAACTATTAATTTGTCTTTAATCGATTAAATATTAAATATCTCAATTAATCTTTTTATGTGACTTATGCTGCAATATTACAATATTGATAAAAAAACAATATTTTTTATTTTAAAACAATTACTTAAACTTTTACAAAGTATAAATGAGTATATTTAACTAAAAATTTTTAAACAATTCAATTTTTTTTAAAACTTTTTAAAGATTTAAATTTAATTAAATTAAAAATAATTAATCAAATCAATAAATAATTATAATTGATAGATTATTTTAAATCCAACATTTATCTTCTTCTCTATTTATTTTAATTTGAAATAATTTCTTTTTATTTTATAAGCATCTTCTTTTACTTTTAAATATAAATGATATAATAATAAAATATTAAAGTAATCTTTTTTTAAAATAAAATCTAAAAAAATTATTTACTAATTCTTTTTACAATTAAAAATGAAAGAATTTTATACTAAATTTATATTTTTAATTAATTTTATACTAAATTTATATTTTAAATCATATAAAAATAATTTTTAAAAAACAATGTTTTGAATCTTTTTATTATCAAACTAAATCCAAAAAATCCCTAATGTTCAATTTAAAGTAATTTAAACTTTCATTAATATAATCATTGCGATTTTGATTAAAATAAACAAACTGTTCATTTAATTTTTGATAAATAAAATTAATAAGCTCTAGTTGAACTTTAACAATATTATTTCGTAATTCACTTAAATTAAAAATTACATTTCTCGGGTTAATTAAATTAAAATTAATAAAAATACCATATCTAAGACAAATTACATACGCTTCATCTAAAGATTTGAATATTTCATCTAACATAATATTTTTTCTATAATTTTCTACATGGAAACTTAAATGATAAGAAATTCTCAGTCTTTTCTCAATTTTTAAAAAATAAAACATGTAATTTAAAAATAAATTGTAAGTTTGTAATTTTTCCAAGTTTATATCAGTAGAAAACAATTTATCTAGAATAAATTTTTCTAATCGATTTAAGAAGTATATATCAGTTCTAATATTTCTTCCATTAATTGTTGAAATTGCATGAATTACGATTTTTTTCTCTGTTCTAAGAAATTTATATAAATCAGATCTATATACTGCACGAACAATATAATTTTTAATTTCATTTACTTTTTTATTTGTATTTAAAATTAATTTAACAATAGTATCCTGATTATCCTCTTCTACATTTACATGATTATTTATTGGATAATTACTAGTCACAGTATTAGCTTCACTGGTACAACATAAAAACGCAATAAAAAAGATGTTTTTCATAAGGGTCTTTCAAAAATTTAACTTAAAAATCAAATATGCTTAATTTAAGCTTAAAAATTTTAAAATTCTTAAATGTTTTACAAAATAAATTTGTATTTATTTATAAATTTATAACTAGAATAAAAAAAGATTGATTTATTTTAATTTTTTAGAATTTGTAGTGTCAAAGGTAGTACATTATTGCTCTTTTCATTCAATCAATTAGTTACTATAATGGAAGTATGTTTATGATCATTATCCTGCTGTAAGATAAATTCATTATGTTCTATTTAAATAGCAGATTGTCTTATATTTTAATTTAAATCAGTTTATAAACTACCTTAGTTATAATATTTTCAATAAAAAATATTCTAGTTTCTTGATATGTTATAAAAACTGAAAAATAATACATTTTTCATTATGCTTTATGTAAAAACTTTTTTAATTATACTTTTCAGGGTAATATTACACTTACTATACACAATCACTATTAAATAAATAAAATTAAACATCGTCAGTAAAAATAATTATCTTAATGCTTCATTTTTCATATTTAAAATTTTCACAATATTATTATAAAGAAAAAAATTTTGATGTACGTAAAATAGTAGATTTAATATTTTAGTATAAAATTTATCTTAATTTTTTTAGAATTTCTGATATCTAATAAAAGAATTTGAATTTTAACGAATTAAAAAAATTCATATTGTAATATCATCACATCAATAATTTAAAGATTAATCAAATTTTGTTTCTCAGAAATATTTTTAAATCAAATTTTCTTTTTTCAAGCTTTTAACATAAAGTTTGATGAAAAGATTTTAACTAAATTAGTTATGACAAAAAATATTTAACCAGCTACTTAAACAAATTCAAACAGACCATTAAAGAATGGAATATGATCATACTTCACATATTATATTGCAAAAATATCAATATTTAATGTAAGATACACATATATAATTGGTTATTTTACTAATTCTTCTAGAACCGTTTTATGACTTCTAGACATCTCAAATTAAAAAATTAATATTTTTATAATATAGATCTAACAAACCCTTTTTAATAACACTTTAATAATTATTTTAATCTTTTTTTTAAGTTTTATCAATTTCATTTAAATGTTGAGACATCGGATAAGAAAAAATAGCAGTAAAAATATTAAAAAAAATTACTGTCTGAATACTATTGAACACTATTTTTACAATTGTGTAAGTAAAGTATAAGTTAAAATTTTATTTAACATCTTTTTTATTTAATTAAGAAGTCAATATTATGTTTTAAATATATTTCACAATTAAAAATTACTCTTTTTATACTTAGTTTTAAAGTTAGGTTAAAAAGTTTTGCTGTCGATTTTTATAAATAAACCAAGTAGAATTTTGTGATTTCATATATCACACATTAAACATGTGTTTTAAATATACTATAAAAAGAAAATTTAAGTAAATAAAATATATTTGTTAAGAAAAGACTTTGAGATTACAAATAAGGAAGAGATAAAAAAGAGAGAAACTCAAATTTATTTAACGATAATGAAAGTTGGATATGTATTAACATTATTGTAAAAATTAACTTTATAATTTTTATTATTTAAATAACAATGAAACCTATTATTCTTCAATTTTGTTAATCTTCTCCAATGAGGTTTCTTTACTTACCTTTTCAGGTTTATTCATAAAACGTCTTCCCATGATAATTTATTCGTCCTTTTTATTTAAATATATGAAACCCCTTTTGTTTCAGATTGACAGCTTTCGTTATTATTATTAATAATAACACTGCCAATAACAAATTTATTTATCATTTTAATTATTAAAATTTAAAGTAATTTTTATTTCTTATATATTTTTAAATATTAAATTGTCCTTAATCAATTAAATTTTAAATATCTCAATTGTGTTAGTTATTTGATTTTTTTCTATTAAAATATTATTAGTAAAAAACAAACATAGCTTTTTATTTTAAAACAATTCAATTTTAAAATAATTTATTAAATTTTTAAATAGTATAAATTTTAAATAATTAAACTTTTTTAAACAGTTCAAAAGATTTAAACTTTTTACTAAAGTTAAATTAATTAATCAGATTAATAAAATAATTATAATTGATTGATTATCTTAAACATAATATTATCTTTTTTAATATTTATTTTAACTTAAAATATTTTAGTTTTTATTTTATAAGCATTTTTTATTATAAAATATAAATAATTTTAAAGTAAATCTCTTTATTTGATATAAACCTTAAAAAAATATTTAACTAATCCATTAATATTTTAAAAAACTTATTAAATAAAACATATTTTTATACTAAATTTATATTTTTTAATAGATTTATCAAAAATAATATTAAAAAATTTATTATCAAATTAAATTCATAAACTTCCTAATATTCCATTTAAAGTAATTCAGACCTCTAAGAATACATTCATTTTTATTATGATTAAAATAAATAAATTGACAATCTAATTTATGATAAATAAAATTAATAACCTCTTGTTGAACTCTAGTATTATTATTTCGCAGTTCAAATAAATCTAATTTTAGTTTTCTCGTGTTAATCAAATCTAAATTAATAATAAAATTACGCGCATGACAAATTTTATATGTCTCATCCAAATATTTTAACATTTCATCTCTTACAATATTTTCTCTATCAAATTTGGTATAAAAACCTAAATAATATAAGTATTTAAGTCTAAAAACAATTTTTAGAAAAGTAAACATGTAATTTAAAAATACATTGTACTTTTGCAATTTTTCATAGTTTATGTTAGTAGAGAACAAATTTTCTAAAAGTGATTTTTCGTATTGATTAAAGAATATAAAACCATTTCTATTCTCTTCTTTTTTAATTATTCGAATTGCATGTAGTATGATTTTTTTCTCAGTTTTAAGAAACTTATATAAATTTGATTCATGTATTGTATGAGGTACATGTATTCTTATATTATGTATAAAATTTCTTAAAAATAAAGATGGATCTGTCAAAGTATTCACATTATTCTCTTCTACATTTACACGATTATTTATTGGATGATTACTAGTACTGTATAATAATGCAATAAAAAATAAGCTTTTCATAAGGGTTTTTCAAAAAATTTATTTAAAAACCAAATATGCTTAATTTATACTTAAAAAATGAAAAATTTTTTAAAAAAATTAAATATTTAATAAAAAATTATTGTATTGATTTGTGTTATGGAAATGAAACAAAAATTGAAATATAGTTTTAGAATTAGTATAAAACAAATTTATGTTTAAACAAAGTAATATTTATAAATATGTTAAATATAGACAGAGAAACCTGAGATAAGCCATAATAATAGGATGAAAGAGATAGATAGAGTAAGATTGAATTTTCTATTAAAAATTGAAGGATTAAAGAACATCAAGCAATTTCCTTTTTTAGATTAGAATGGGATTATAAATATGAATTCGTGGAGAGGAGAAGACAGATAATTGAAGCTAGGAAAATGTACAGCTGAAAACAATAACAATTTCTTGAAATATTGTCACTTTTAATATATGAAAGAATTAAAGATAAACTTCTTGAAGTTTTTGAAGATTCTGAGCATAAGATCCAGTGTTTATCATAAATGTTAATAACTCTATTAAAAGTAAAAATTTTAAGAGATAGATTGGACAAAGGCAAGTATTTTTATTGTAAAAAGGTAAGCAACTTTGAACATTATTTAAAGAAAATGATAGCTGAGATGAATTTAGTATCTAATAAAGAATCTAATATTACAAATAAAAAGGTTTATAGTATTTTTAAAAATGGTTTACCTGGTGTTTAAAAAGATAAATTTATGTTTAAAGATATAAACAATATGTGCAGAGCTGTGGAAGTTATTGATAGGTTAGAAT